CAGAAACCCTCAGGATTGTTACAGGAACCGGTAATCCCGGAGTGGAAATGGGAGAGGATTTCTATGGATTTCATGACCAAGCTACCCAAGACGTCAGACGGACTGGACACCATATGGGTAATAGTTGACCGACTGACGAAGTCTGCCCATTTCCTGCCTATAAAAGAATCCTACAAGATGGAAAGATTGACACGTCTGTACATTCGAGAGATCGTGAGACTCCACGGAGTACCAACATCTATTATCTCGGATAGGGACAATAGATTCACGTCACGATTTTGGCAATCACTCCATAAGGCGATGGGAACAAACCTCGACATGAGCACCGCTTATCATCCACAAACGGATGGTCAAAGCGAGCGAACCATCCAAATGCTCGAAGACATGCTCCGTGCATGCGTGATAGACTTTGGGAAGTCTTGGGATACCCACCTACCTTTAGTCTAGTTCTCATATAACAATAGTTATCATTGGAGCATCAAGGTGGCTCCTTTCGAAGCATTGTACGGGCGTAAGTGTAGATCACCGTTATGTTGGGCTGAAGTAGGTGACACCCAGCTAGCAAAAGCACATACGTCGGATAAAGCACTAACGGGACCGGGGATCATTCGCGAAACCACGGAAAAGATCGTTCAAATCAGAGCTCGATTGCAAGCATCACGTGACCGACAAAAGAGCTACGCTGATAAACGGCGAAATCCCTTAGAATTTTAGGTCGGGGATCGAGTACTATTGAAGGTCTCACCCTGGAAAGGGGTTATACGTTTCGGAAAACGGGGAAAACTGAACCCACGATACATTGGACCTTTCGAAATCGTCGCCCGAATAGGTCTTGTAGCATACAGACTGCAACTACCCACAGAGCTAAACAGTGTACACCCCATGTTTCATGTCTCTAATCTGAAGAAGTGCCTATCAGATGAAACCCTCGTCATTACCCTTGACGAGATCGAAATCAACGAGAATCTCCTGTTCGTTGAAGAACCGGTTGAAATCATGGACAGAGAGGTGAAGCGTACTAAGCAAAGTCGCATCCCGATCGTGAAAGTACGGTGGAACGCAAAGCGTGGGCTAGAATTCACGTGGGAACGCGAAGACCAAATGAAGCAAAAGTACCCTCATCTATTCTAGCATTCTCAAATCTAGCTGTCAAACAGAATTTCGGGACAAAATTCCCTCTAACGTGGGGGATGATGTCACAACCAGAAATTTTGTGTCTTGTAATAACTATATACTTAAGTAAAATGTTGAATCAAAAACTTAAGAGCATGTGTGATGCTTCAAAAACTTCAAACAAATACACTATATAAGTACTCCAAATAGTCATCAAACAATTGGAAACCCTAAAAGTTCTTGTTTAGGTCCATTTTGGACTAGGACTTCCTTATTGGGCCCAAATGGACCAATAAACTTCCAATTTGACTATCATGGGCTTAGAACCCTTAATTAGGCTCTAATTGGATCCACATTCATTTATTTCAACATTTTGGGCCATATTGGGCCTAGAATGAAATAAGTTAAAAGTTTTGAACCATGATTAACCTAAACTAGCCCAACTAAGTGCTAAAATCAAATTATATTTCTTTTAGGTTAAAACTCATCCAACTTAACTTCTACATGGGATTGAGGGCATTAAAGCCCAAAATTTCCCTTTTCCTTCAAAAATCTCGGCCCAAAACAAGCCCAAGAGGAAGGGTTGACCTTGTGAGTGACACCTCACAATTAACCAAAGGACTTCCATGCAAGGAGACTCATACTTCCATGCACCATCCTTTCATGCTTCCCTCTTCTTCTTCCTCTCTCTCACTCTCGGCCGAAACACACAAACACACATACAAATCTCTCACAAACTTTCTCTAGATTACTCAAGAAACCATCCTCCCTCTTCATAAAAAATCTCGAAACTTTGCTTGTGAATCAAGAGGATTTCAAGAAAGTATCATCACTTCTTGGTAAGTTACACATATCTAAGGAATTTATAACTCTTTTTCTCATGATTAGATCCTTTCTCTTAAACAATTTTGTTGAATATACTCCTAGAAAACTCCATAAACTCGAGATCTTCATCAAGGGGTGCTAGGGTCAAAAATCACCAAACTTTCTTCCATCTCTTCTTCAAAAACCGAGACCACACCCTAAGGTGAGCTTCATACTCCCTATCTTTCGGTTTTATAAGTTTTGTGTGTGGGGGGGGGGGATACAAGTGAAAGTGTAGATCTATATGTGTTTTGTATGCCTTGTATGATTTCTATGCTTATATGTGTGTTTTTGTGTGTTTACGATGTTGGATCTAACCATAAGCCCCTAAAAATCGAGATATACTTTATGTTAAATGATACTAGCATCAAATATATTTCTACATACAAATTATTCCAAGAAAAATAGCTAAATGGCTTAATAACATCTTCTTTAGGCTAAAAACTCAATTTTTGGACATAAAATGTTAAAAATATAAAGTTAAAGGGCCCAAAATGACATATTACGAATTATGATGGATGAGAAGAGTCAAAATAGTTTCAATAAAGTATTTTATGGAAATATACTCTTTTGGAGGGTTGAAAATATAAATTTCAAGCTTAATGGGCTAAAAATGACATTTTTGACCCAATAGGGCCCATTATGCGAAATTTTCTGTTTTGAGGGGCTAAAACTGTATTTTTCTGTAAAACAGTGTACTATTAGTGTTCCAAATCCTTTTCTAAGGTTGAAAATGCTTTTCTTAATTTGAAAGGACCAAAGTTGCAAAAATTTTCCAATTTGGGCCAAAAATGTAAAAACTGCGAAAAAGAGGGGTTACAACCGAGAAAACTGTATTTTCAGGGATTAAAACCGTTTTCAACTAAGAATATGCTGAAAAATATAAATTTTAATAAGTTTTGGTGTTAAATGACAAGAAAAATGGTTTAAGGACTAAACCGGAAACTTATTTATTCCAAAGGTTGAAAAAGTAAATTTACCAAATAAAGAGGGGCTGAAAATAGAAAATTCTCAATGTTAATTCAATACATCCGTTGTGATTAAATAATGGCACTACGACTACCGACGAATTACAATATACAACAATACCAAAAATCGTTGTTAAACGAATTGATTCGGTCTCGAATCAATAACAACCCGGAACTACTAACACGACGATAACTCGATTCATACAAGTAACGTTTGGGAATTCAATATACACGTGAGAGTGCATAGACACCGATGCACTATCTTTGGGCCCCAAAGTTTAAAATCTTGTTTGTTGGGCCTAGCTAGCCCAATGACCTGATCTTTAGGCCCGAAGACTCCAACCTTACGACTTGTTGGGTCTTACATGATCCAACACAGCGTAAAAGGACTTTTACTGGCTTTTATACTATTGGTCCCCAAGGGCCCTTTGGTACTGCTAGTAAAGTCGAGATTTCACCAAATGCGAGTCGGGCCAAGGGTTCTTCGCATTCACTATAGCCTCGACCGACTAATGGGATTATTGAGATCTTCGTGCCCTCTCTTCTCCTCGGTTGTTGGGCTACATGAAGTCAGGGCGGTTGGGTTACGTGAATAGTACGGACGATGCCTACGAGATCGTTAGTATAATTGTAAACTGGTCGTTTGTGTAACGCATGTTTATAATAATTTACCATGCGAAATAATCCGACGTCGCCTGGAGTCAATGACTTCACATGCCGCGATGGTACAACAACTACATGGAATTCAAAGTGTTAGGAAAACATCGGGTTTTCCTAGGGTTTTATTTTCAATACCTACAGTTTCGAAATGTACACAAGTTTAATGAACACTTTTTACAATTATAGAAACAAACAAGCATACTTATGGATCTTCACAAACTTTTTCATAAACTCTTTTCAGAAAATATCGGATTTTCTGGTAGTTTTCAAAACAATACAAAACGTTGCTTTTCAAATACCGCTTATGAACTCACCAAAATTTCATATGTTGACGTTTTTCAAAATACTTGTATTCTCATGTAACAAGTAAACCGAAGGAAATGTATTGAGTGATAGCTTGCAGTTTGTTTATCTATGATCGAACAATTTATTTTTGGGAATGTAATATTAAAACAATGTACTCAGTGTAAACTCTACCAGTTGTACTATATTAATGCATGGTGATGAATGATGTTATGTTTCATATATATTCAGTGTTATGGTATTCAATTAAGTCACGACATCCCTCGGACGTTTCCGCCGTCTGGTTCGGGGGTGTGACACTTTGTGTCCATCAGGAAATCATTCCAGTACTCAATGACATCTGCTCTGAGATAATACTATCCCCAAAACTTTTTAATTCTCCACCAATCAAGTCCTTTGAGAAGAAATTCATAAATCGTGCTGAATCATAAATGTGTACTTTCCAGGTATTTAAATGTAGCACTGCCCAAAATCAATGCACACCAACAACGTTTATGGGGAATAGTACCTGCAAAAAAAAATAGTCGTAAATTCAGTTATATATATATATATATATATATATATATATATATATATATATATATATATATATATATATATATATATATATATATATGGAGAGGATCAAATGAAAATACCTAAAAGGTTGAGAACGCAAGAACAGTTGTGGACCAATCATTTTATAAGGGTATATTAGTAACTTTATAATAATATTAATTAATGATTTCCTAAAATTTAGGGATAATGATTTTAATTACCTAAAAAAATTAATAGTTCTTTTTAGATAATGAAATATATATAATTTTTTTTAGGATGATTTTTCCGAAAAATAATTTATGACCGTTTCTTTTTCTTTAAAGGGAAATCGGTACAACTCAAATCACAAATGAATCCACTTTTATTTAGAATCCCATTTTAATACACTTTTATTTACAATCACAAATGAATATACACTGTTATTCACAAATATCACAAATAGATATTGTTTTAATCACAAATGAATATAACAAAATAGTACATAAATTACATCTAAAAGAAAATGATAAACACGAATTTATGTTCATTATAATTTATTCAACCAAGATACAAACACCTCTAATCAATATTGAATACAGTTCAATCACAAATGAAATATACTTCTAATCAAAAATAAAATTACAATACATAAATTAGCTGTTTTCTAACAGCATAAGAAAATACATATATGAAACATCAAGCTCCCTTTTCTTGAAAATTTGCTTCCAATTGCTATTTTGTTTCCCCATTTCTTCTCAATGGACCTAACACAAAAATCACTGGATCAATTCATCAGTTTTAACCTTTTATCAACGACCATTGTCTATGATGTATGAAATTTTTTTAAATAGATATGATCTTACTTGTATTGTTAGTAGAAATTGGTGAGATTGAAAACCATATCATTGAATAATCTTGTTAGTTCATTTATCTTCTTTAATATCCAAAACCTACATCAAGTGTTATAATCATTAATGCATCAAAGTGTTATAATAATTAATGAAAGGGACTTAACGCTTACCTCTTGATCTTTGGATTGCTAGTAATCGTTAACTGTTAATGATGCTGGTGCTTTTAGCCTTTTGTATTGCAACCAAATCTTGCTTTTATCGTCTCGTGCTACCTTCTTGATTTATATGCCTCTTATATCCAAATCTACTATGAGTTAGAGTGAGACTCAACCAACTTTGATTTATGATTTTCAACTAGTATCCAACATCACACCAAAAAACAAAGGAATTTGTGATCATTGTTATTCTTAAATTCATTCATGTAAAATGAGTTTAATGATATTAAAAAAAAACAATTCACAAACTATAATAATGTATAGGGAATGTATATATACATCTTCATTTATTCACAAATGCTTGTATATATGGTTATAGTTATATTCATGTATAATTATAGCTATATTCATGTATGATTATTGCAGAAAAGGAAGAAAAAAAACAAATGGCAAACAGATAGAAATATTTAAGTAATTTTGTTTGCATCAATACAAAGAAATTTGAATGTTCTATTGTTTTTGCTTGTCATTGAGGGTGTAGCAAAAGGTTAGGTTTGATTTTCATTCATTGAATATCGTTAGAAAAAAGAAATCAAAGAAAAGATTGAGAAAGAATCGAACATGCATTCAAGTTTCAGTTTTCTGAATTCGGGCATTTCATCTAGCACCTTATGTGCACAACTTATCTTCTTCCCCTATTAGTCAATTTAAATGAGTAAAGTACCATACCTGAGGAATATGCACATGAAAAAGAATGTTGCCTCTTGAATCTAGATGTAGGTCTGGAATATTTGAAACCAAAATGATATGCAATCAAGTAATTGCTCGAATAGGGGAAGAAGATAAGCTGTATGCGATTTATGTATCAAATTTGAAATCCAATTTATGTAGAGAATTACCTGTATGCGATTCAAACGACACATTGGAAATCGAGAGATTCACTTTAGAAATCGACATATTGTCACAATACCCATCGATCAATTTAAAGTAGATCAGGGGAAGGTCGACGCCTCTTCTACACCAATGATGAGTAGATTAGCCGTTCATTGTCACTCGATCAGACGAGGATCGAAAATTCCCCAATCGATTATCCCTCCCGATCCCTGCTCCGTTTGTGAATCATGCTCCTCCGATCAACAACAATTTGGAGATCCTGTTTCCATTTCCTTTTTTTTAGCTTCATTGATTCCCTTTTGGTGGTGGATCAATGATGTAGGGTGGAGGCATACCTAGGTTTACACGGAGAGATGAAGAGAGAGATGTGAAATGGAAGGAAATAACTGAGTGATTGAGGAATTATAGGAATTAACTAACGGTGGTAAAAATATAATTACTATAATACCCTTATCACCATTTGAAGTTACACTTTAATACCTATAAATTTTAAAACTTTACATAAATGACCCATTCGATAATAACCTTAGATTTAGTTTTTTAAATGGTTCAGATCCGTTCTCGCGTTCTCAACTTTTTTAGTGTTCTCATTTGATCCTATTCCTATTCCTATATATATATATATATATATATATATATATATATATATATATATATATATATATATATATATTAAACTTAAATAGCCATATCCACATCCTTCCATTTAGGATAGCCTCCAACACGACTTCTACATTCCTAAAAGAAATGATTTTCTAGGTTGCAAATTGAGTTCTTGAGGGTATATCGTCCACCTTGCATTCACCGGTCATCTTTCCATGAGCAAACCACTCCATATCGCAATATGCGATACATTTTAAGATAAAAATGTTACAATTATTTGTATAAATAATCTTCTAAAAAATAGTTAAAATTTAACCAATGTTACCGAAGAAATTAACCACCCAAAGTCTGTAACTGTAAGTAACCTTGAACAAAACTCCACATCCAGTGGGAGTATATGCAACCTGTGTGTAATGTTGAGGTTGGAAAGTATCATATTCCATTCTTTTCAAAACCCTAACATACTAGCAGCATAAAGACTATCTACCAGGAGATGATTTGAAACATCATTACTCTGTTCATTCACAATGTCTTCATTTGCTTTTTCCGGAATTTCCACTCCTTTTTTTTCCTTGGTTTGATGATTTTCTTCAATTTTGGTGTGGATTGCATCTAAAAAATTAAAATGTCAAATAATTATCAATAACTTAACATTCTATAAATACACTAAAATTAAAATATGAGTTTTGTACCATTGTAAACGACATCCGCTGATACCATTCAACACTCCTCTTTCGTTGCAACCTAATAATAGGAGTCACTGTTTTGTTGTGATGTTCACCCACATCCAGTGACAGCTCAACATGCGTAGGTTACACCCAAACTTCCCCTCCAAACCATGAGTTTATGTAACAACATACTCCAGTTGTGTACCATGATAATATGTTTCTTCCTCCTCTTCATTTACCATGTCCTCCTCCTCTCCAAACCCTGTATCCGAATCATTTTTTTTCTTTTCTATAATACACGGTCTGCTTTAGAAGTTAATTCATCCATAACGCATATTAGACACTTCATCAATGCCTTTGTGCTCGTCTTATTCTTCTTTACCGACTTTGCTGATGTGTCGCTTGACATATAAATTCTCTCTATTTCAGGCTGTTGCGAGGAAGAAGCATTTGTGGCGGTTTCAGTCGAAGATGTTTCTGACTTGTACTTCTTTCTTCAAGAGCGAGCCAACAATAGGTGGACTATGTTTCCATAGGGGAGATTCTTCATGGTGAAGAGTCCAATTGACGTAGCGAATATAAAACGACAACATGAGCGTTGTCGTGTTTTCCACGACAACAATAGGATGTCTGTTAGTCTGCAAAATTCATATTGTTAGTTTGACATGAAAAAACATTGGAATTTGTAATTATATATAATTATAATATAAAAAGCATACCACAGGCACATTGATTATTCGACGACATCAAGCCGAAGATAAATGTGTTTTACTTTTCCACGACCTCATTCGTGGCAATTCTATCGGCATGTGTATATAATACTGGGTTGCCTCTGGGAACGTCTTCAAAATCCATATCTATGGAAAGAAAAGGTAAGTATGATGCTATTATAGTATAAAAACGAAAGTACAATGATATTATATTGTACAAACCGAAGTAGAATGTTATTATTGTACAAAAAACGAAAGTATGATAACTATTTAAATGCATTAGAAACTAACGTTAAACGGAAGCATAAAACCAACAACGATATACTTGTGTACTTTCTTGTATTCTGGATTGGACTGCTTGAATATTCTAAATTTTTGTGTTTTCTAAAACATTCGATGCATCAACCCTGAAGTATAGGTCCAAAAATATGTACCCCATGCAAACTTGCAATTTTCAATTTATTCATTATAATTGTTATTGTATTTATACACAATTTTTAAATATAATACCTGTTCCAATCATCTATATTATCAACAAGCGTGTATACTGCTGCAGGAATGCCCATTTTAATGTCTCGTCCGTGGAGACCTTTCAACATAAAAACAAGTTGGATAAACATTACAACATCTTCATCATGAAGTGAAAAATACTTCTGAGACATAATGTAGTCTTCTAAATCTTTCAGCCGCAAACATGCATCTGTAATGTCTGAGAACAACCGAGCACGAAGATTTGAATTTGACCGACCTCTTTCGTCATGGAGTAAATCCACATAAAGACCAACTCTTAAACCATAAATTAGAATATATACAGTTTCACGAAAATCCAATTGCATCTCCTGTATCTCAAAAAGAAACCTCCCCATTTCAAACACTTCTTTAGACGTTACTTCATGCAACATCATCAAATGCACAAGGGGTCACCATGGGGGACATGCATTCCTAAGAATCTTCCAAACGACAAATCTTCAAATAATACTTGTTGGGATTGTGTTAGGCATGGAAAATAGTCTTTAATGATCGTACCGACCACACCTTTTAAAGTTAAATCTGCTTTTTGATTGAGATCATCGTGCTACAAAACATATACATTTAATTTAATATAACACTTTAGTAATTGAAAAAAACAAGGTTTCTAAATTACTTTTCTAATTCGGTTTACGAAATAAATAACAACATACTTTTTATATAATAAATAGTTGATATAAAATGGCAGAAAAAATGAGGAAAAAAGCATTTTAAGGTCATTCCGCGGAGGTTAAAGGTCATTCCACGGAGATCCCTCTGCGGAGTGACCAACACCTCCGCGGAGACGAAGTTTTCCCTTTTTGATTCATTCTGTGGAGAGAATACGTCAATCTGCGGAGGTTCCTCTGCGGAGTGACCTATCCTCTGTGGAATTGATCTTCCTAAATTCAAAAGTTCTTAATCCTACATATTGAAGGTTATCAATTGGATTTTTGTAACATTTCAATCTTATATATATATATATATATATATATATATATATATATATATATATATATATATATATATATATAATACGACATTAATCCAAAGAGGGGAAGGTGAAAAATACCCGGGAGCTGTATCCGTCGGCGAAAATATTGGGAAAATGACGTCTTTGAAGTCCTTCTCGGCTGGTTTGAACTCCTCGCCTAAATCGGAACAGCCTTCCGATGCGGAGACAGGAACGACAATTCGAAGTGGAAGAGGAATCGGGGGGGGGGGGGGGGGGACCAAGGAGACCCGATTTTTTAAAAAAGGAGTGGGGGGAAATTACAAAATACCCCCTCTCTGCAGATAATTCGTCATTCCGCGTAGCCCTGTAGAGGTTCCTTTGCGGAATGTGTGTCTATAGCCGAAAATGTGTGTTTTCATGACTAAATTTTGAAATACCCTTCACCCCCACCCACACACACAAATTTTTTTTGACTATAGCCGGTATTTTCCATAACTTTTATCATTGATTACAACAACAATTTTTGTGTCCATAATTGATGTATGGTAGCTTATTATTGGGGTGCAAATGACAATAATTTCATAATTTAATTGTCATATTTCCAAAACCACCCTTTTTCAAAAAAAAAAAAAAGTATCACAATTTATGTGCAGTTACACAATGACATCAATTTTAAAACAATTTTTTACAATCTCAATCGCCATTTCCAAAACATCAAATGATAGACCCGTTTTACTCTATTAAACTATAAACATTAACTGGTAGCCAACCTTGAACCTTAGTCTTTGAAATGACAACAAACTTCTACGTATCATCATCACCTCATCCATTTCTCTAATCTATAGATAAAGAATCAAGTGTTATGCTTTTTTTTTTTGTTTAAGGACCAAAATATAATACACTCAAGAAACATCATAAATCAAGCATCTTTCTCAAAATACAATTTCAAATAACATCAAGCTGATCAAAGGTAATAATATCAAAAGCGATAATGTTAGCATGCTAAAAGCAAAGCAACTATGCTTTATTTATTAGACATGACAATGATAAAAAAATTACAAAAAATGATAATACGTAAACTCTTGTGAAATATTTAACTAAAAGTCATTAGAATGACAAAATCATGTAACTGAAATGGTTAAGGAAAATAGAATAATAATACACCATAAGAGCCTAGTTGGGAAGATACATTTTTTAGCACATTTGTAGAAGGCTTTTAATAATCAATTAGCTAAACTGGCAAATTGAGATGCACTTTGGCAGGGGATTCTTATCCATCACCTTATATGCATCCGCTACCTCATGTCTACAACTAAGCTTACAACTATACTAAAATCCATAAAATGCTTCATCAGGTTTGCTATATCAGATTCATACATAAGGTGTATTTTCTTGCAATTCAAGAATCATGAAAAATCATACATCACAAATGCATTAATGCATACCATGAACAATACATAGAGCGAATCCTTATTGTGTCAAAACTAACACCAGATCAAACAAAAAAAAACATTTCGATTGTACATGACAAACATAATAGTTCAATCACAACATAGAATACTTATACTGCTTTTGGTTATTTAAATACAAGAATTAGGCTTCAAGAAAAGCTTACTGAACAATGCAAAGGAATTGAATAATATGATTTCAAGTGATTCTAGCAAATCTATCACTTCCTTTTAACATCTCGGCCATTATTTGATGATAGGTAGCTTCCCCTAAAATAAAAAAATGCATTGTAATACCTACTTTCTACAATAGGAGAATTTACAAAATAAAATATTTAGAGTCGATATTTGAGTTTTAAAAAGAGGAACCACAATATGAAAAGAAGAAGAAGATCTGAGTTTTACCTTAGGGGACCCAAAACATGGTTATGGCATAATGGTTGCCAAATCTGCAAAACAATAGGTAAAATCTTATGGTTATAGGCACCATGATAGCATGAATCTTGCTTTCCTATCTCTCACAAACTAAAGAAATCAAATTAAAATGAAAATTAAAATAAAAACTTAAAATGAGATTTTCCAAAAGAAACAAAGCCCACCTTTTGGATATAGGTCTCATTAGGGGTGAGCAAAAACCGAACCGACTAAAGAAAAACCAACAAAACCGCAATAAACCGCAACCGAAAAACCGAAACCGATGCAAAAACCAATGGTGCGGATTTAATTTTTGCAAAAACCGAAGGTCAACGGTGCGGTGTGGTTTCTATCCTAAAAACCGGTCCATCAAAACCGAACCGCACCGCAAGCGTGTATAGTAATAAGTCAATCAATGTATATTATATACATTATATTTAAAATAGTTATAAACGATAATATATTTATTATATGTTTATTTTGTGTTTGTATAAAACTATATGGGGTGCAAAAGATATGTTCTATTATTAGCCAAACATACTAATCGATTACATGTAATAAGCTAGTAACAAAGTAACTCAAAATCAACCAACCTTCAATCATTAATTAGTTTGTAAGAGTGGTCACAAGTTCTATTTTAAGCGACTTACAATGTTTTATTATGTAATTTTGTTTTGAGCTGAAAATGAATATATTAAAAAAAACAGCACAATAGAAACTTATATGCACATGGTTTTCAGTTCTTACAGTTTTAAAAAACCGCACAAAAAAACATAAAAAAAACTGCACCAAATTCTTAACACGGTTTAAAAACCGAAACCGCACCGATACAAACCGAAACCGCATTTAAAAACCGAAAAACCGAACCATTGCAAAATCGCATCCAACGGTTTTAAGAATGCAAAAACCGCACCATGCGGTTTGCGGTTCGGTTTGGTCTGAAAACGCACCAAACCGCACCATGCTCACCCCTAGGTCTCATACTTAGACAACGAGAGATAGCTATGTGTGCACGTGTACTTGAAAAGAGTGGTCCCATGGTATATGGTGTGACAAAGAAGCATACAAATCCAAACCATTTACTCTTGGAACATATACGTCATTCTTCTTTAAAATACATCCTCTGCTATTACAACAAAACTCAAAATCAAAAATTGATGCGAAAAGGAATAAATCTGGTAATCATTACCTCTCCGCCTGTCGGATCACACTACAACTCCGTTTCCTCCTCCCCGTCATCTCCATATGTACACTCTCTATTTCCTTTCATCCCCCTTTTTCGTTCAGCGCTAAAACACACACAAACATAGACCATCTTGGAAGTACGATGATGATAGAGATGGTGGGCAGCGTATTGTGGCGACTGGCTGTGAGGGTGTGGCTGATGGTGGGTATTTTAGGGATCGTAGAGGTTTAGAGAGAGAAATATTTTCCGATGGATTTGGAGTCAACATACTCAATCTGGGATTAAGGGGCTAAGTCAAAAGCTTCTGAGATAGATAAAGTATCAATGTATTAAGAATTGTACATACGGTTTCATATTTTGTACAATTTGCCTATATTTTAAAATTCACACGTATATTTCAAATCAAAGGAATTGTATTTAAAAATTTTAAATTATTTTATTTATAATTGGTTGTACTTTAAGCTTAGCGATTTGAACGTCTTAAAAGATATTATCATTATATTGAACCTATTTTTAGAAGGAATAAGATTTCATTTATAATGTAGTATAGATAATCAGGCTTTGACTTCATTAAGACTAAAGAATGTGGTCCATGCAAAGTATAATTGTACAATCTACTATAGAATCAGAATACACTGCTACTTGAGAAACTGGAATCAAACATAATTTGATGAATGAGTTTATTTAGAAACTAAGTTGATTCCTTCCATTCAATGATCACATAGAAATATTTTGTGAGTTCAAGAGTATACTTTCCCAAGCTAAGAAACTCTATGTGATATTAGAACGCGTATCACTCTTACTCTCCAAGATATCTAACTATAGTTAGAATAAAGTTAATTATGGAGATGATCGTAATCGGAAAATCCATATTGGGGTCACAATTTAGCTATAGGACTTTGTTATTCTAGAAATGAGATTTGATTTAGATTTAGTATTTGGATAGTAGAACATTGTGGCAATAACTATTGTATTTTTTTTGACATAGGGGTTATGCTCTTCAAATAAATATTTGTTATTTATTATACAAACATGTATAATCCATTAATAGTGAAATTATTCTAAAACATCATAGTTAGTCATAATTGTGGGAGCAATTACGAAGTAAGACTAATATGAATTGGATTGGTTAACTTTCATAAGATGAAAGTGGGCAATACGTTGTAACCAAGATTCATATGTATTTGTTTGGGAACAAGTATTAGACATGAACCACATTAAAATGACCTCATGGATCTCTATCATGAGTGATACTTGATAAAATGTACTATATTTTTATCCTTAATATATGAAATACATATTCAAATAAAGTGTATGGAATTTTATAATTTGATGTGGTTAAATGTTGTTCTATGCTATGAACTGTGGAAGAGCCGTATGTAGTCAAAACGA